GAGATGTACACATTTCCACCTGGGTCTGCACGAAAAGGTTTGCAACCCAGCGTGCATTACAAAAAAAAACATGGCCAATGCACTATCCAGCTTCTCAGCGGTCGACATGTATCTATCCCGCTTCTCGGTCGTCGACATGTATCTATCCCGCTTCTCAATGGTCAACATGAATCTATCCCGCTTCTCAGCGGTCGACATGTTTCTATTCCGCTTCTCAACGGTCGATATGTTTCTATCGCGCTTCTCAGCGGCCGACATATTATTTATGGCACTTCTCAGCGGTCGACTTATTATTACCCCGCTTCTCAGCGGTCAACGATATTTCTATCTCGCTTTTCAGCGGTTGACTCATTTATCCCGCTTCTCGGTGGTCGACTTATTTATCCCGCTTCTTGGCGGTCATATATTCCGCTCCTCGGTGGACCACTAAGTTACCCTCAAGGCATGGTGTCTCAATGAGCCCACGTAAGGGGAAAGTGGCTAGTATCTATGTATTTATCTTGCAGGGTACGTGCGAGAGCTGAGTCATCCTAACGAACATCATGTATGGAAGTTTGTAGGGGCCGAGCACCGAGCTTTCTAGAAGAGATGAAGAGCTTTCAGACCAGGAACTGAGAGGATCTTGGTGCATAGAAGGTCGAGAGTTCGATAGTGTCTATACTTTCTTTGCTCGTCAAAGACAACCAAAGAAAGTGTTGGACTTATAATGGGGACATGGGACCCGGGGGGGGGGGGGGGGGGGGGGGGGGGGGGGGCATTTTATTGGAAAAGTTTAGCCCAACTGCCCAAGACGGGTGTCCATCTTTATGGGTGAGGTGTTGACCCAATAAGAATAATGAAAATCTATTGGGCTAAGGAAAGAAGGAAGTTGGAGAAAAATATTACGGAGTATAAGAATTTTTACCAAGGGGTTTCAAACCCACAACCTGCATAACAATAAAAGTTCCAGACCACCAAGCCACTCAAGATCTTGTATATTAAAGGGCACGAAGCTCTACTTATGCATGGGAGTGCGCTGGAAGCAAAATAGTGAGGGGACATGTGTGTGGCCAAGAATGGAGGTTGCCCGATGCTGTCCATTTGTCAACTATCCATGAGTCCTTCAACAATATAAATAGGCACCCCTTGGCTCACCATACCCCTTTTGGTCAGTGCCGACCCAGGGGCATGGGCAGCCTGGGCAGGCTGCCCATGCCCCAAGTCCATAAGGGGGCCCATAGCCCATAGCTCATATATTAATATATTATATAATATATATATATATATATATATATATATATATATATATATATATATATATATATATATATATATATATATATATATATATATATATATATATATATATATATATATTATATAATACTTCGTATTTAGTACTCCGTATATATTAAAAATAACGAAGAACAGATGAAAAGAGTGCAAGACGGAAAGACGGGCGGGAAGATGAACACGAAGAAGAGATGCAGTCCTCTGCCTCGCCGGTCTCACCTACACCACTGTCCACAACAACCATTCAATTCTTACACCACAATCCACAGCAACCAGTCTCGCCCCCTCGCCTTCGACAGTTCAACCTTCGCCACTCTCTAGTTCGACCTAATCTCAGTAATCTACAATTACAAATGTATTTTATGATTTGGGAATTTAGGATTTAGGAATTGCATATTACATTCTTAAAAAAAAAAAAGAATTGCAGATTAGGCAGATTACTAGATTAGGAATTGTTCATTTTGAAAAGGAATTTTTTGAGAAGAATTTGTTGAGAATGCAATCTGAATTTATGAATTGTTATTTGTAAATGAAATTAGGAATTGCTATTTGTTAATTGTTAGGATTTTGGAATTGCTGATTACATTCTCACAAAGAAAAAAATAAAGAATTGCAGATTACATTCTTAAAAAAAAAAAAAAGGAGGGCAGATTAATTGTTCATTTTAAAAATGAATTTTTTGAGAATAATATGAATTTATGAATTGTTATTTGTGAATGAAATTAGGAATTGCAGATTACATTCTTAACAAAAAAAAAAAAAAAAGGAATTTTGAAGATTTAAGAATTTTGCAGAATATGTTTAAGATTGCAGATTAGGAATTGCTCATTTTTTTTTTTTTTTTTTTTTAAGGAGGAATTGTTCATTTTGAAATTAGAAATTATTGATTTGTTGTTTAAGAGTTGGGAATTAAGAATTTTATTTGTCTTTTAATTCTACTCCGTATTTCTTAGGATTCCTATGTATAATGAAATTGTAAGTTTATTAGGTTTATTATATGAAGATTGAGTTTGTAAAAATTGCAGATTGCTACCCAATAGTTTTTATTGCTTATCGAATGTTATTGACAATATATACCCATGACTGTGGCATCACCAGAGAGAAGTTTTTCAAAATTGAAGTTATTGAAAACCTTCTTGAGATCTTCAATGTCACAAGAAAGATTGAATGGTTTGGCGATTTTGTGTATTGAGAAAGATATGCTAGAGAATATTAATCTTGATGCAATTATCGATGATTTTGCATCGAGTAAAGCACTTAGAAATTTTGTCTTTTTTTTTTTTTTTTTTTTTTTTTGTAGTTAAAAAATTGTTGAAAATTTTCTGATCTTATTTCTTGTTATTTGATATTCTTATTTTTTTTAGTATTATTAAATTTAAATTTTAGTTTTCCATATAAGGGTCATTTTTTAAAATTTTGCCCCGGGCCTATAAAATGTTTGGATCGGCCCTGCTTTTGGTCCATTGGTTTGAGTCTTCTCCCTCGTCTGGCACTCCAGAGTTCGAGTCATGTTGGTAACATATTTAGCTTGTGTTATTTATTTATTATTCAGGCCACCATTTTGGACCCTATTTCATTATTAGGGCTATAACCTTAGCTTTATTATTTATGTATTCTTTGGGCCGCCGTTTTGGCCGATATCTCGAACTTTGTACATACTTTTTTGGGCCTAGTGCATAGGGTAATAAATCTACTATTTTTCTACCCCCGTTCTATACCTCTATACCCGGTTTATGGTAGACCTGGTTCCAACAAAACCATCATTATCACATGTCATTCTAGACGAACATTTAATATCAATTTGTATTTTTACGAGGAAATATATTCTCACTTGAGAGCAACCTCATTAGTAGCAAAATTTGTGATTTTTGTCACTACAACTTAAGAAAGAGAAAGAAGAGGGAAGAGGAAAAAAAAAAAGAAAAAAAAAAGACCAAAAACTAAATTTGAAAACAATTTTTTTTAAAACAAAAAAAAGTATAGATAAACGCGCCCAGCATGTGCACCTAACACACTGAAATGCACAAATTTAACTTCTTCTTCTCTCTTCTGGGACCCACAAAAAACTATACATTAAATGATAAGAAAATACTAAAAAACTCTCATTCCCATAAACCCCTAATGGGGTAGCTCTGGATATATATATATATATATATATATATATATATATATATATATATATATATATATATATATATATATATATATATATATATATATATATATTGAAAGGTTCTAGTGCGATTGAGTGCTTCCCGTGTAGTTGTGCGATTGATTAATGTGCGCGACTTTTGTACTTAATGTGTGTGAGTCTTGTGCTTAATGTGCCTGCGATTTGTACTTAATGTGCTTGAGTGTGTAATGTTAATGTGCGTGAGTTTTGTACTTAAGGTGTGTGAGTATTGTGCCTAAGGTGCGTGAGTTTTGTGCTTAATGTGCGTGGGTGTGTACTTAATGTGAGTTGTTGTTGAAACTTTAAAGTGCATGAGTTTTATGCTTAATGTGCGTGAGTTTTGTGCTTAATGTGCGTGAGTCGTGTGTTTAAGGTGCGTGGGTTTTGTACTTATTGTGCGTGAGTCGTGTGTTTAATGTGAGTTGTTTTTAAAAACTTAAGGTGCGTGTGTTTTTTTTGTGATTAACATGCGTGAGGCTTGTGCTTAACATGCGTGAGACTTGTACTTAACATGTGTGAGGCTTGTGCTTAACACACGTGAGGTTAGTGTGCTTAATGTGCGTGCGTTGTGTACTTTAAGTGCGTCAGATTAATGCTTAACGTGCGTCCACCCGCAAAACCGCACGGGACGCCTAAAATGCACATGATCCCTTCCATATATATATATATATATATATATATATATATATATATATATATATATATATATATATATATATATATATATATATATATATATATATATTATCTGGTTCATATGAGAACCACTTCCCAGTTAAGAACATGTGGACAAATCCAAATCACAGAACTGCAAGATCTTATGAATAGGAAATTAAATAAAAAAAGGAGCAGGTCCATTTTCAATATATAAACTTTCGAAATTTGCAATATATATGAAAATGGCTCCATCTTTTTCTTTTCTTTATTTTCAATTGTTTGATCTAATAAATCAATGGTTTAGATTTGCTCACGAGTTCACACCTGGGCATGGTTCTCATGGGATATGTGTGTATGCGCGTGCAATTAGCATAACATTCATAAAATTATATTAATTACATAATCAAGAAATAGGAACTTTAGATACACAACAACAACACTTAAAATATCCGATGATCTCAATTACAAGTAATATAAAATGATTTAAAACATTAAACAATAGTGAAATATTAAATTGTTCAAATCCTTAACCAAATGTTCAAAATCCCAAAATCTTACATATTCAAAATCCAAACATTAAGTAGCCAAATCTCAATTAACATGTTTTTTTTTTCATTCCTAAACCCACTTTTGATCAAAGCCGGCAATTTATACCATACACCCCGGCGTATAGATCTATGTGCGCCCAGCTTCAAAACGACGCCGTATAGAGTTGATACGTAACAACCTTTTTTTTTTATTATTCAGTTAACGCCGTCAAGTGGTAAGAAGAGGGAAGTGAGAGAGGGGTTCTAAAGAGATGGTGTCGTCGCGCCGATCATGTCTGTTGGATTAGAGAACACGGTAGCGATCTGATTGTTCAATTTGCTCCGTATTTTGCAATTGTTGGATGTAAGTCATGTATGATTCGATTGCGCAGCAGCATGTGGCGGAGACAGAGCATATAAATAATCTTGTTGGAGTGGTAGATACAGAGGATGCTAATCCAGGTATTAATATTTGATTTTTAAGATTTTCTTTTGTATTTTGTTTGATGTATGATGAATATATTGAATTTGCTGTTGAATTATATAAGAATTGATATAGGATTGCTGTTTGATTGTGGTTGTATTGGATGTTAGTATGGTCTGATTTGAAGATGTTGATATAGGGAGGTTTTATGTGCATTATATGATTTGATTTGTTCATTTTTTTTATGCAATTGTGTAGATTTTTAGGATTGAATGTCATAGTAAGATGGACTGAAAAGATAGTTTTATGTATTTATGATTATGTGTATTGTGCCATATGTTTATGTGTATTATAGTTATGGATTATGTACATTAACATTATGGGTAGTTAAACTGCATGTGGTTTGCAGCTGATCAGGATTTGGTAGGAATGTCAGTGTGTTCGGTTGATGAAGCATATGACATGTATAATGATTATGCTTTTAGAGTAGGTTTTAGTGTGAGGAGGGGTAAGCAAAGATATACTTCTGCTACAAAAAACAATGAAGACGAAGATGTTTCATTGTTCGAAGGATGGATTTAAAAGGAGTATAGGAAAAGGGTGTTATTCTAAAATTGATGGCCGTACAGGTTGTGGTGCATATGTCCAATTCGATTTACATGAGAATGGGATGTGGATTGTTTTGAAGCACGAGAAGTTGCATAATCACGAATTGGTTCCACCAAGCAAGAGTTACCTTCTAAGGTTACATAGGATGTTGTCTAGGAATCATATATCCTATCTTACTGATTTGAAGAGCAGTGGTGTGTCTGTTGCAGATGGTGTAAGATTCCTTAAAACACAATCAGGGGGATCACCACTTGTTGGTTTTACAAGTAGGGATGCATATAACTCTCTATGTATCGATGCATTGAACAGATTGGATGGTACTGATTTAAACACATTGATTGAAATATTCAAACAGAGACAGTCAAGTGAAAGGGATTTTTACTTTGATTTTGAGGTGGATTTGGAGTCAAGGTTGTGTAGTTTTTTTTGGAGGGATGGACGAATGAGGAGAGATTATGATTTGTTTGGGGACTTGTTAGTTCACGATACAACATGTCGTACTAACAAATATGACATGATTTGTGGACCTTTTGTTGGCATGAATCACCATTGCATGAATGTTATGTTTGGATGCGGTTTTTTGATGAATGAGAAGACTGAGTCATTTGTATGGTTGTTTAAGACATTTTTGAGATCTATGGATTACAAAAGTCCACAAAGCATAATGACTGATCAATGTGCTGCTATGGCTGCTGCAATTGTTCAAGTTTTTCCAAGTTCACGACATCGGCTATGTATATGGCATATTGATGAGAACTCAAAGAAACACATTAAAGGGTTAAGAAATCAAAAAGATTTCTTAGATATATTCAATTGCTTGTTGAAGTATAGGGATACAGAGGCAGAGTTTGAATTTTACTGGACAAGGTACGTGTCTGATGTATGCTTCGTTATTTTTTTTGTTTTGTTTTGTTTTTATTATTAGTTTATATTGGATTATCATTGAATGACTATTTTTAGATTATATTATACAGAATACAGAATTAATTTTTTGGATCAAGTTTATGTGTATCTATTTGATAGTTTATGTGTATTCATGTATAAGATTATGTACATTAGTATGTTTTGTATGTGATATCCTGACATGCTTGTAGGTTTACTTTAATATATTTATGGCATGTTATTTTAGGATGTTTACAACATATAAATGTCAAAATAATCATTGGATTGAAAAGCTGTATTTGTGTAGAGAAAAATGGTGTCCTGCATTTAATAAAGATTATTTTTCGGGTGGGATTTTATCTTCTCAAAGGAGTGAGACCACAAATCACTCTATTTCTAGAAGGTTGTCCAAGACATCTGGTCTGTGTGATTTTTATAACTCATTTGTTGGGGTCATATCAGAGTGGAGAAGTAGAGAGAATGGGGAAGATGTTCGGTGTTACCCACAATGGTGATGGATAATGTTAAGATTCTGTTGCATGCTAGGGAAATTTATACAATTGAGATATACTATTTGTTTGAAGAACAATTTTTGAAAGGTGGATCATGCTATCAAGAGTGTGTGATGTTGGAAGATGGTGTGTATAAGTATCATGTTTGGAGGCCTAATGTTGATATTATTAGGCATGAAGTGATCTTTAACAGTAGACAAATGGACATTGGATGTAGTTGCAAGTTGTTTACTGAATTGGGGATTTTGTGTTGTCATTGTTTACGCATTCTAAATGTGCATTGTGTTTCTGAAGTCCCTGAGAAGTATATTTTGAAGAGGTGGACTAAAAAAGTTGTTGAAGTTGATAATTTTGATATAATGTCTAGAGTTGATAGTGGTAATGGTGCATCTTCTGTTTGGTTATTAGAAATCATTAGGAAATTTCATAGGCTTGCTGTTTACAGTCAGGAAAATATCGAAGGACAGAAGATTTGTGAAGAAGCAATTGTAGATGCAAAGAGAAGACTTGAAGCTGAATGTGGTGGTAGTTTATTTGAAGAATGTGACATAGGATCGCCAAGTGGTGTTATAAAGGATCCATCTACTAGGCGAACGAAAGGGTTGCGGAATAGGAGGGTGAGCAGTGTTATTTCAAAGAAATATAACAAAGCAAGGGGACGGAAGCATCTTGCAAATATGGTTGCTTCCAAAATAAAATCTGCTGTTCAGTCTCAAGTTGAGGATAATATTTTAAATATTGCGGGTGATGGATATCTTGTCCACCCAAGTTCCGGAGGTTCTAGTTTTTGTCACGTTAACACAATGTCAAGCATGGAGGATAATTAAAGCATATGTTAGTGTTAATCATCGTAGTTATGTGTATCACGTACAGAAGGATGTTGAATCATATAACTCAGCAGTAATAAAATAGACATTTATTATGATATGTGCTGTTTTAAAAGTTTATGTGTATTCATTATATACTTTATGTGTATTACTTCATATGATTATGTACATTTTTATTTGTATTAATTACTTTTATATATTTATGTACATTTCTTTTTTAGATTTGCAGTTATCAGTATAGGGAAATGATATGCTTGGTCCTATGTGTATTCTGTACATGGATTATATTCAGTAGGATGTTTGATTGTATATATTAACAGAAACAAAATATTTGTTAGACTTTTTTTAGTAGTATGTGCACTGTTTTGAAAGTTTATGTGTATTCATTATATGGGTTATGTGTATTACTTCATATGATTATGTACATTTTTTGATAGTTCACAGTTTGTGTAGTATTTGCATTGATTATGCACAAAACTATATTGGGGAATATGAAAAGTATAGAATATAAGTAAACATTAGATTGGACTACCAAAAGGAGCATATACAAATTTCTGATAATTGTTTATTAACTGAAACTTCCAAAAATTGAACCAAAAATACATGTAAGTCTGAGCTTGGATTAGCAGAATTGCTTTTTACAGATTCTTGTTAGTAGTTTCACTTCTATTTCTTGTAGTTGTCCCTCACTGAGTGCATGACTGTTTCCATGTATTCGTTGTTCTTCCACATGAGGATGTTTGCTGCATATTTGGCTCTAAGCGATGTAATGAAAACAACCTACAATAAACAAAAGATAGATGTTAAAATTAGAAGAAACAAGAGATAACATGTGTAATGTAGAACAAAGTTGATTATTACTTAATTACATCACTATCACCCCCTATGAAACCAGTTTCCCACTTGTCTACCTCAGTCCCTTTGTAAGTTTCCATGTGGCGCATGCAATACACGCCACAATCTGTTGTGTTCTCTTCATCCTGCCATGGCATGTGAATGCACTCCACTTCGATATTCTTCACTTTCCTTGCAAGGGAGTTTTTCTTCGATTGGAGGTATTTGTAGAAAGCTGTTTTCTGCACATTATAGTAATTTTAGTGTTTAATTAATTTAAGTAATGTAAATATTAAACTATAGGGTATAGATATTAAATAGGAGTATTAGTATATCTTACCAATTTAGCCGGGCAGTTCTCATATCTGTTCTTACTTGTTATTCCCTTGGGCAATAGCTTATTATCAATGATCTGAAGTTTTGACTTGGGGATGTTAAAGAACATTAAGTAGTAGTGATTGTGCCTCAAGATTGTAAAGAAAACCTGAAATGAATAATCAAAAGGTATTTAACAAACTGTGTCAAATACAGACATAAATTCAATAATCTTAGAATTCATATATATATATATATATATATATATATATATATATATATATATATATATATATATATATATATATATATATATATATATTACTTACAAGACTTGCATCTGTTATATCAATTGCAGTCCCCCTCAACTGGTAGTCAATATTTGTACAGAAGTCACCAATATCCATATTCCTAGCTTTTATTTCAACCTTTTCAAGTGTCATCTGTAAAGAAGAGGTTGTGGGTCATATAGTACATTGTTTAAAAAAGTGCTTAGTTCTAGATGTGTACTTACGTAATCAGCTTCCGAGAAGAAGATCATCTTTGGTTGATCAATTGCTCTTTTCATATCAAGCACTGTCAATCTGTGTGCCCATATTTGTAGGATATTTGTAGCTAGTTGCCCACTTGCCAGTGTTGCAATGTCCTCTCTCGTTGCAAATAGATCATGGGCAGAAAACAACATTTCACTGGAAATAAACAAAACAAGTTGATATTACAAAATAAACACTTCACAATTTAAAGTAATCTACTGTTTCCCATAGTGTAATGTATAATGTACATAATGTTATGAAGTAATACACATAACATATAACCAGGATACACATAATTTTGTGTTTAAGAATAGCTGTTATTTATGGTGAGGTATATCAACTGAAAGCATCTGTTATAACAAGTTATAAATGAAATACATACTAAGAAGGGTAGTCAGTTTCATCTGGTGGCAGGAACGCATAGTCCGAGATCAGTTTTTCCCTGGCGGAAACATTCTTGAGTTTTGAAATGTTGCTTGTCTAGTACGGGGATCGACAAGCTAGAGGGAGGTTCTTGAACTTTCGCTGTGGCCTTTTCCGGACATTGACATCTTCAACATCATCTTCAGATTCAGCCATGATGCTTTGTAGAGACAGAAAAGTAATTAGAAACATGTTTTAACTTTTTAAGCAGTAGGCATAACAGCATGATTAAATAATTAACAAGGATAATAATGTACATAGTATTATAGTAGAATACACATAAAGCTATGAAGTAATACACATAATCACATTTGGGTTAGGATTGATGAGATATTAAATTGGAACATAAATGTTCATAATCAATAGATTAAACACACATAAGGATACTATTAAGTGATAAGTGAGTTTTACCTATCAAACTCAATTTGTTCTGGAGTTTTCTGTTCCGTGGCTGGTAATGATTGGGGTGAACCATCAGCCATGTCATCAACCAGCTGCTCCAAGAGTGTTGCAATTGGGGTAACTGCTGTTGCTGCTGTATTTCCTTCCGTTGTTTGTGGTGGTGGTGTGGTGGGTGATGTTGATAGTGTTGCTGCTCGTGGTTCAGATGTGGGTTCGGGCGGAGGTGGTGTTGTTTCAGGTGGAGTTGCATTTCTTGGGGCTTCTTCAGGAGTAGCATCACGGCCAGTTGGCGTCAGGAGATTAAAAGTTGGTGCAGGTATGTCAGCAGTTGTCATGTTCTTCAATGTTGCCAGGAATGCCGCTTCAAGTTCAGCAACCGCATCCAAGAAACTGGGCTGGTTGTATATATCATCATCTCGCAGCAGGCTCTCCGGTGGGGTTGGATTCGGGCTTGGGGTGAGGTTGGCATTGGTGGATAAGTTGCTGAACACATTCTTTATAATGTCAACAATAGAGGTGTTTACCCCAACACCTACCATGACCTCACCGAACTCCATAATGCTCATGGTCATCTTTTTCAATGCTGTGGTGACCTTTTCAACTTCTTGACCTTGTGGTAGTTCACGAGGCAGTGGCAGTTCATGAGGTGGTGGCTGATGTGCAACTGGGATATATTCAACAACTTTCCCCTTTCCAAAGCCGCCTATGTCTCTTTCAACCTTGACCCTTGCTCTCAAATCACTTGAAGTCCACGAAGTGATGGTGGGAATTCTCTTTCTGACTATCTCTCCTCTAACCTGCACTTTGTCTAGGTATGCCAGCTTCAAATAGAGAAACAAAACAAAAAGAAAAAAAAAGATAAACCATTCAAAATCAGTATCAGTTAATGTTCATGATGACACAGTAAAATACACATAAAGTTATTAAAAGATGTACATAATTATAGTCTACAATGTACATAATGTATATCATGAATACACATAAGGTTGTAGGACAATATACAGAGTGCATACCATCAGGAAAGTTGCAGGACCAGTGAAGGCTGCATAACGCTTGCCTCTCTATGTTGTGGTGGTGTCAACAAGAGATCGTATCGTGTAAGCACACCAGTTGAAGTCTTGGATCTTGCTGACATCTTGCAGTGAATACAGGAGCTTGTAGTTACAGAACATGTTCTTGAAGCCTCTTATCAATGTGGAAACAACATAGATTATGAAGTCACGTTTGAACATGTCGCCATGATCACGCCTCTCAATGATGCCATTTAGCATCTGGCTTGTAGTTGGTGTGCCTGTCTTCAATCGCCACCGCTGTCTCCAAAGTGCAACCAAGCGAGTGAACTGTGGGTCCTTGCTCGTTACTTCAGCCTCCACAACAGTCTGTTGGCCTCTGGGGATGCCAAGTGTTGATTGTACATCATCATCCCCTAGAAGGAGCTCTTCCTCTTCCATATGTATCGAGCGTCTACCAACATCAAAGCGCTCTAGAAGGTACCTCAGAAGTTCACAATCACACAAGGAAAGTGTTGCATTTAAAAGGGATCCAAATCCCATATCTCGAACAGCTTGGTGCTGTTCCGGGCTCAGACTACTGACAAGTGCACAGAGCTGCTTTGGGGAGGTCCGTACAGATAAATAATCACTGTTTCTTGGTTTTTTCTTCTTCTGTTTTTCATCCTTTCTTATCCTCTTTGGGGCGTTGTCAGGTTCAGCAGCTGTACTGGCATGGGTTTTCTTTTGTTTTTTGGCAGCAGGCTGTTTGGGGACATCACCGGCATCTGTTCTGGTTTCAACATTTGATGGTTCAGAACATGATTCAGCACCTTTTGATGCAGCAGCGGTATTTTTCTTTCGTTTACCCGCTCTGGCAATTTCTCGTAGTGTAGGATCAGACGTGGTTGGAAGTGTTGATGTAGGTGCAACATTCTTATTTCTGGGAGATCTCCGGGGATTAGTGGTTGTAGTGGTTGACATATCTGTAACAACACAATACACATAAATACAAATCTAAGGAATACGTAACACTAATATTAACACCAAACAAGCAGTAGATTTGGATTGAGAATTTTACAGGGGTGCAAATGTACAATGTACATAATCTTATGAATGAATACACATAATATATAACTAGGATACACATAATGTTGAATATAAGAAAAATGGTTATCTATGATGAGGTATAGCAACTGAGAACATTAATGTACTTAATATTATATCAGAATAAACACAAGTATAAGTAATATGTAACCCTAGTTGACATAATAACATAATACACATAATCACAGTTCTAAGTAATAGGTAACACTAATATTAACACCAGACAGACAATATATTGGGATTGAGAAGTTTACAGGGATGCAAATGTGTAATGTACATAATGCTATGAAGTAATACACATAATATATAACCAGGATACACATAATTTTGGAATACAAGAATAATGATTATCTATGATGAGGTATAGCAACTGAGAACACCAATGTACATAATATTATGAATGAATACACATAACATATATCAGGAATACACATAATGTTGAGTATAAAAATAGCGGTTATCAATGATAAGGTATAGGACCTGAAAACAGTAATGTACATAATCTTATACCAGAATATACACAAGTCTAAGTAATATGTAACCCTAGGTATCGTTACTGTATTAACACAATGAAGTAATAGCATGAATGTTTGGACTGAGAAGTAATAGTAGGTATGCTTACCTGTATCTTTGCGATGTTGTATGTTCTTTTGCAGAAGAATGTGATGAAGTATTTGCGATTTTTGCCGTATTTCGCGGAAAAACAGTGATCGTTTTTGAATGCCCGAGAGTGGTAATGGAAAGACTTCGTGAAGAAGAAAGGTTTGATATATATATATATATATATATATATATATATATATATATATATATATATATATATATATATATATATATGTATGTATATATATATATATATAATTTTTTTTTAAAATGCGATTGGACGGACGGAGAGGCGTCAGTCCCGTCAAATGTCACTAACGGACTAAACTTAAAACGCCACCATTTAGCACATAGGCGCATATATAGACCTACGTGCAATGTGGTGTATGATATAACGATTGATCAAAGCCGGCCTCAAATCTCCATTAATAACCTAAAAAATGAAATGAATAAATTAAATACTTGAATTATAATTCATTATATTTTTGTATTGTATATTCAATTTAACTTTTAAACAATTAATTAATTTAATAACTATCTCTAAAGTTCTAATTCTCGAAGAAGAAATAGATCTTTAATAATTTCATAAACTTCATATGAAGCAATTACCTATAAAAGTAACAAACAAATAAACAATGTGAAATATCATTTTTAAATTTTATGTAAAGTAAAGAATAATCAATTGTAACGATTTGTTATACTAAATTCCTTACCTCTAATATTTTCAAACAATCAATTTCGAGAACACATTAGAGCTTTCAAAAATATTTTGATGATAGTCTAGTACGATGAAGACATACCACTAGTTTGCAAGCAAATTCTGAAGCAACTATTGAAATTGGAATAGTTAAGATATCCTTGGAAACCTTTTGCAACATTAGATATCCCTTTCATTGAGTTTGTCACCGTTGTAAAACATACAAGACATCATCATATTACAACTTATCATCCTCCAAATAACAGTCTAACATGATAATTGGATACTCATACAATTTCAGATTCGACGCGGTGCACTCTTGGTCTAACTCGAACCAATTGATGAGTCAAAATAATTAATATAATTAACTGTAGCAGTCAAAAGCAGGATTTAATCTTAGAGAGCATGTGTAACTATTGCACTTAACATAGAGCTAATGCACTCAGGGTGTGTGATGCACTTATTAGGAACATAATGGTGCCTGTATTATGTTCGAAGGTGTTGTACTTAGATTGAGTGTTGGCCAATATAAATACTTTACTTTGGTAATAGGGAGGGAAGGGAGGGAACACACTCAAATCTGGTACTTTGCATACTACTTGTTACTTCCTTTTTTTTTTTTTTTTTTTTTTTTGGTTGTTGTTGTTGTTGTAAATATATTCTGGTAATATTATTACCATCATAGTCAAACTCTGATTTCCCACCCTTCTGAGAAGTAGTCTTCAAAAATAGACTTTAATATTTTTATAATATGGTCATCATCTTTCAAATTTCCGTTTGAACATTAGATTGGATGACTTTACTTACATAAGAAGAACACTCATATTCACCCAACAAATTATGACAATAAGTCTTTAATCCTTTCAATTTCTTTTACAACTTTATCTCCATAAAATTCTTCAAAGAAAATTGAACAACTCGTAACTTATACATTAGATCAAGAATAGTAGCTACTGCCAAAATCCCATTAATCACTTCTCAATATTTATCAACCTTTGTCAGCATACTCTTGACTATATTTGCTATCATCAAATCAGTTGAATTAATCCAATTATGCAAAAAAAATCTTTAATCTCACACATCAATAAGGAAAAAAAATATTGGCAATTGGATATTTCGTTCCTGAAAATGCATTTGATGCTTTATAAAACACTTATAATTTTTCACAGATACTCTCAACTAACTCTCAATCTACTTCAAATGGTGAACAAGTAAATGCAAACTCTTGTTATTCCAACAATTAAAAAAATATCTTTATATTTTAATGCAACATAAAACATCAAATATGTAGAATTGGGCAATAGACAAAGTCACTGGGCTCTCAGCAACTAGTGTCTTTGGTGACGGTGATGAGAGAAAGAGAGGGTCGGAGAGAGAAGTGGTTGAAAGACCGAGTTCGAGATGAGGAATACAATAATAGAGTCTTAGTGTGTGGCTAAGGTTTTTTTTTTTAATTGACTTTTGATGTTGTTTAGGAGACTTGGAACTCTATTTTATAAAGTATTTGCTACTTAAAAGAAAAAGTATAATACTTTTGAAAGAAAATATAATACTTTTACATTTTAATTTAAAAGTATTACATTTTTCCTCAAAAGTATTACACTCTTCCTCTTAAGTAACATCCTCTCACAGAAGAGCCACTATTATTATTACGGTGACTAGTTTGCAATGTTGGTTCTAGCTAAGTCGAAGGCAGCATTGTGTAAATTGACGAAAGGTGAAAGAAGAGTGATTGCCTAATAATAAAATATTACTTTTATGGAACGTTTAGTTCGCGAAATAGGCCTGGAATGGAATAGTATTCCTAGTAATAGGCATATTCCCACTACAAGAAAAGTGTTCATTAATGAGAGGTAAAACCGTCACTAAAAATTCAAAAACCATCATAAAAGACTTTTAATGACGGAAAATTTACCGTCACCACCCGTCGTTATTTCTTCTGTAGATAAAAATAAATAGTGACGGGATATGATACCATCATTAATAAGCAATTTAGTGATAGTGTATTTACCGTCACTAAAACATTCTTTTTACGACAAAAAATCCCGTCACTAATACAACTACTCACTAGCATAATTTCCTCTCATTATATTCTTGTAACGATGGAAAATACCGTCATTAATACTACTATTTACTAACAAATATTATTATTTTTTAATTTATATATATATTGTTACTTCTCATTAAATATTAATTTTTGTAATACATTTCTTTTCTCACTAATCGATATTATGATATGTTGTAACTATAAATATTATATAGATACATAATGCAATTAAAGTAAACTCGATCAATATATTAAAAGACTTCATCATTAATACCAAAATAAAATATTCCATACAACTTTGTAAAGACTAAAGACAAAGAAACTAATTATAACAAATAGTCATAGTAATGTATCTATTGGCTAGCTATTTTGCCAAAAGTCTTTTGCATTTGAACTAATTTTGCTCAAGTCATGCAAGATCAGTGGTGAGCTCAAACTCCTGCTTATCATCTCACTTCCTGCTTCGGAATCACAAGCCTCTGTCTCTTGACTACCAATAAAACCCCAAAATGTTTTAGTATAAGCTTAAAGACATACAATTTGCAGGCTTAGAATTCATCAAATGATCTATCAATATTTGTAACAGAGCAAGGAGAAAACAGAAGGGTGACATCTACTATGGCATATGATTAAACAAAAATTTTACATTAAAATTAATAATAATCACATAATGATAATACAGGTTGCAATTGAACTATTATGTGTGTACATCGCCCTATTCTTTTTTATTATTTCAATAGTTTAGTGACATTATATACATATCCTAGGAAACAAAGTCAAATATAAATTGAATGGTCCATGATCTTAGTTCACAAGACAGAGAAAAAGAACAGTTAATATATAACATTGAGCATTAGAAACATACCTTCATAAAAGGTTGATTCGATGAAACTGTCCTTCAAGAGCAATGATACCTATATTAAACATAAAGACCTGAGTCATACCATCATGCCTCCTCAATATACACTAAAAATTATTTTGTTGTATAGAATTAAGAATAGAATAGTATACTGCTATATGCTCAAAATTCTTGAAACTACAGCAATATAGTGTATGCATGTCTTGGGGAGCAATATTAAACAACAAAAATCAAAATCTTTATCACAATCTAATTAAATTTCAAATGTGTACCAATTCATGAGTATAGAACAAAGAGAACGCAATAATTTAATCTAATCCATAGTTTATAATGAAACCACAAAATAAAAAGCAAATATACCTCATCAATCCAGTCCCACCACCGGGAACTCCGTCTCAATCTGGTTCCTAACAACATTATACATCAAAGGCTCATGCCGTTCACCTAAAACGCAAGAAAAGATTAAGCAAACAATTCTTTAACAGCTCTTGGCCTCTAGTTTGCAATATTTTGCTTTCAAAAAAAATTCTGAAATAATCAATAACGTTTTGATAACAATGATGACCAGGTGAGTGGTGGCGTTCATGAGTCGGCTATAAAGGTTAGGAGAGAATACCTGCACATCGCTACACTCATAAACTGGCCTTTTCTTTCCCAAGAAACTCTCTCCCACAAGTTTTCCATGGTACAAATTACTGGAAAATTTAAAAAGGGAAAACATAGAGTACACAAATCTCCATATGTACTGGAAAATCTAATCCTATACGGCACCACAAAAAACACAAGAATGAGTGTTCATTCACAGTTTATCCCACAAATTAAACTTTATGCATATTTCTGTCCCTCTAAATATGAAAAATGCTACAAAGTATAGTTTTAAGAGTGATACTTTCAGCAAAATACATCTTCTAATTATCTTTCTAAATTGAAAAGGAAAATGGTTCACAAAAGGGATGATATTTTACAAGACTGTAACATTATAGCAATTTTTATATTGACTATTATTGTTTTAGTATACACAGTGCAAAAGTAAAGAACCTGAGGAAAGTTTTTCAAACTGAGCTGAGGGTAATGAGCCTTAACATCTTGAACGCCACCATCTACAGAAAGAGCTTGCTGAATGCTAATACTCTTCCACCATTGCAATTGCCTCTATGTAAACTGCCTACATTATTTATCCATTGTCCATAAAAAATATCAAAGTAGCATGACAAAAACTCTTTATGCATAATCTCAAATCACTACTATTAAAAATTTATGGTTGATAATCAGTATGATCAGCTAGTGAAGTGTCACCCAAAGCTTGTGCCCAACTAACAACAATCCAAACCCCTTTTTGGCATCCATCCGCCATTACTGTACTGTTTATTATCTCACAGCCACCGCAAATGCATGCCTAACCCATAAAGCAAGCTAAACTATCACTTTTAGCCTTAAAATTCACGAGATAATGCAAGCAAAGAATAGAAAACCCATCATTATGAACGGGAAAAAAGAAAAAAAAAAAAAAAACGACTGACCTGTTGTTGAAGTCCTTGCCGCAGGTGTCGAGGCAAGTATTTCTTTTTTCTTTCTAGTTTCCTTGTTCACACAATACATTCAATCACATGATCACAAAACCATAATCATCAAAAGCTATTGAAATGTTTACCGAAAAATAGAGAAATAACAATCTGTAAAAAAATAAACAAAACAAATCACAAACAGTAGCTACACATTTAGAATAAAAAGTTTCATAATTTCATAAATGATTACTAAAACAAGGCAAAGTAAACCAAAATTTCCATTGTCCACACAAGCAGCAAATCAACATATAATGGATTTACTCATCTCTTCATTCACAAATATTTCTCTCTGCCTATACATACAATTTCAATTTCTCTGCAAACAGAAGCAAAGTTTGTTGAACTTGAATTATCGTTTGAGTGGAAAAATGGCTTACTTGAGAGTTGTTGGCTTGTTGCTGTTATGATGGTGGCCTTGATAGCTGGATCTGCCTTTGCTCAGGCACCAGGAGCCGCACCGGCTACTTCACCGAAGAGATCTCCATCTCCGGTCGCGTCTCCGCCGCAGGCAGTGCCGGCACCGCGTTCTTCTCCAGCGTCCTCTCCGGCTCAGACTCCATCTGTCGCCGCTCCCTCTGAGTCACCACTCTCTTCTCCACCGGCTCCTCCCACTAGCACTCCTACCGCCTCCACCATCGCTAATCCTCTATCCATCGCACAGGCTCCCGGAGGCGATGCTCCTTCCTCCCCTCCCAACGCCGCCGCTTTGAACCGAGTCGCTCTCGTCGAATCTGCTGGTTTGGCGTTCGTCGCTGCCGCTTTGCTGTTCTAAGTTCTCTGATCTGCCTGAGATTCTTTTCAAATACACCGGAGTTGATGATTTAGGGCTCTATATACTTATATTTCATTGATTTTGACGGTGTTGATCACAGCGATTGAGGATCAGAGATTAGATGCTTTTATTCGTTTTTGAAAAAAAAAAAAAACCTATAATGAGGGAGCCAGCTGCACACCTGGGGCGCCCAAAAATTTTGGTGGGAATTAAATTTCAATGAAATAATTTTCAGATACATCAATAGTGAGAGTAACAATATTTTTTGTATCAATAGTGAGAGTATATTTTTAAAATAAGTATAAATTTAAAATTTTGTCACCAAATCATAAATTTTTAGCTAGAGTAAATTTTTACCCTCACAAAAACTATGCAAATACTACATTTAGTGATGGGTTTTTTTACCCGTCACTAATTTTTTGTCACTAAAAATGGTTTTTCTTGTAGTGTCCTTTGTTTGGTAAAAACATCTATTCCCAGTAACAATGCTCCTGGGAATGACCTACTCCCCTTGCAAGGGGAATAGAGATTCCTGGGGTCTCCCTAGTATTAGGCTATTCCTGAGTTCTTAGAAATAGCCTAAAGTTGTTATTTCATATTTTATCCTCAATTAAATTTATTTCTTATTTCACCACCATCACCGCCGCTGTCGCCGTCACTGCCACTGCCAACGCCAGCGCCAACGCCAGCACCAATACCACCAGCACCACCACCACCTAAAAGTAATTCAATTTTGCCTAAGCAGTAGTTACAATAAAATGAATGAAGATGATATAAGTTGAGTGTAAAACAATGATGTATACTAATTCACTATAACTCAACCCAATTTTACAATAAAGATCCAACAACAAATAACAAAGAAAAACACAATCAATATATATCAAATTTATTTTTTGTCACCTAAATACAAAACTAATCACATCCGCACATCATTTCATCTATAGAGCAATCCACTACTCAAGAAATTCCAGGCACAAATTAGAACCATCAGGCACCACCAACTGACTTCCTATTTCCTATTTTACCCCTAATCCTCCGCTCATGGCGATACCCATTCTCAATTTGGTGATCGGAGGTTGGCAGAAGCTTCTAGCAATCGGACCCAGCCCTCGTCGCTCGAAGCTCTTCCGGCAATGGAGTTGGGGGGGGGGGGGGGGGGGGTGCATCACGATCAAGGCCATGTGATCAAATCTTGCAATCCCCGAAATTCCCGGAGTCTGTTGTGTCGTCGGTGGGTCTCCAACGAACAGGGGAGATCGAGAATGTAACACCCCCTTTTTCTTAACTTTAAAACTTAGATTTTACAATCTAAAAAGGCGAAAAAATTAAAAACGTAAAAGAATGGACTAAAAGGATAAATATAAATCCAAATTCAACATCCAAAAGAGAGTGTCACCGCCACAGTTACCCACCCTCGAGTAACTGCACAAGCTAAACAACTACAAAACTAACCAGAGTCAAAATCTCTAAACATCAACATAAGGGACATGCAATCCCAGGTGTCTAAGCAACAACAAAACCAAAAGTAGTCAAGCTACATTAAAAAGGGAGGGATAACTAGAGATAACAATAACTAAGCCCTAGAGCTACACACTACAACTAACAAGCGAGCTCTCGTCATGCATCAAGACCACCTAAAAAGGGTTATAAAAGCACATAGGAAAATAAACCCGTTAGCATAAAATGCTAAGTATAAACCACTCAACCCTGTAACATAACTATAGATATAGGTTTTGGAAAAACAGTTGACACTCAAATACAACGAGTACCCGCATAGATACTAGGATAAACCAACAATAAACCCAAGTAAGGATACTATACATATAAACATATATAATCAACAATGATCCTGCTAATTATACGCAAGCAATATAAAATACCCGAGACCGTTTAAAGCAAATAAAGGACTTTATTGATCACGGTAAAGGCCCTAAGTACAATCTACTTCGTTGCTCTGAGTACCGACTGAGTGCGGTCGGGATTCTCTAACAACAACCTATCGATCGTCCAAAAGTCCCCTACACTGTAGCTACTGTGGGTATTTATAGCCGCTATGCCGGGGACAGGATTCCAGCCGTTCGGCATGTCCTCCACGTAGCCACCACGTGTCATCCTCCCGGGTGCCCTGCCTGTCGATGTAGAGAGCCGTCACGTGTCCTTCATCAGCTCTCTCGCCAAAGGGCTACCGCTCGGTGGTTGACATCATCGTTCGGGCAACTCCCGGTCGGACCCCGACCGGGTTCTTCACAAGGAGCCCGACCTGTTACCTGCAAAGACAAAGAGAAAAGGGCAAAGGCATCTCGGTCGTGGTGAAGCTATGTCGGTCGGGATATTCCCTACCAAGAGCCCCCCAGCCCGGGCCCTTTTGATCGTCCGGGAAAAAACGGGACGGGATGAAGAAGCCCAACCGTCGGCCACTAAACCGACCGGCCAACTGTCATTCCCCTCCCCGCCACGTGTCGGCCACTGCCGGCCTCTGCGATTGCAACCGTCACCTCGGAGTCAGCGCTGGTCGTGTCACGCAAGTGGATGATTTTCCCGCCTAAACGCTCTCCTATAAATAGGCCCCTGAGGCCTTCATTTGAACTTTCCTCAATCTTCGGAAGCAGTCGGTACCCTCAGAGAGTCCCGAGCATCAGTTCAGCGAACCAGTCGAGCAGAGCCAAGCTTCAAGTTCTCTCCAAAGTACCAGCAATCGGTAAGCTCTTGATCCCTCATCTTTTTACCTTGTTTTTAGCTTTGCGTAGGAATAGGATAGAGCTAACATCGAACTAACTTCACGACCCCTGTACTAACCCCGACCGACCTTTAGGTAGAACTAAGCATGTCAGACTCAGATAGCCAGAACGCTTCAGTTGCAGACTACGACAACACGGTCGATCAGAGTAGCGAGGAGGTGGACATCATGTCCTACTCTCCAGAGGTCGAGCAACGACCGCAACATACACCCGACCGAGCCCCCGAGCCCGCAAGGTCATCGAGCTCGTCAGGGACCTCGGGGTCGAACTCCAGCGGGTCGGGGAGTGACGAGACGTCCACGAGCGGACGAAACTCCCCGGACGTAGGCGTTAGGGAAACGCCTACGAGGATAATAGGGGATTATCCTCGAGCCGAGCCTGAGGGCGGAGACCGGGCCAACGTGGCCGAAGCGGATGAGGAGGACCCGACCGGGCCGGCGCCGCCGGGCGGGGATGGGTTTGAGTTTCTCAACAGCGAGAACGTCGAAGGCCAGAGGAGCTTGCTGACAAAAGGAGAAGCAAGCAAAATCGCAGCAACTCTTGCTGGTCGGGTCGAGTTCGACACCAATAGGCAGCTCGAAAATATCATCGAGCGGCACCAGGGGAAGTGGATTGGGTTACACTACGATTCGCTGATGGCCCCGATCACGTTCCCCTTTTCCAGCCTCCTCACCGCATTCCTGGGCTACTACCAGGTTATGCCCGGGCAGATTTGCCCGAACGCGCACCGGATCATCGCCTGCTTTCCCCAGATCTGCAGTCGGCACGACGTAGCCTGCACGATGGAGCTTTTCAACTTCGTCTACCAAGTAAAGGTGCTGGCGGCTGCGCACGGGGGAGGATTTCTGATGACACA